GTTTGGGGTTGGGTTTGGGGTTGGGGTTGGATGGACCATTCTGCACCGCCCTTGGTGAGCGTAGGTCGGGCGAGGTCGACCTGTCGGACAGCGCCCTTTTCGCGTGCATCGAACGAATACGCCCCCATAGGCTTGGGGGAGGTGGTGATCGATTTGAACCTGTCCGTGAGTCTCTGACTCAGACTGCGCGACGGACGCTGCTCGCCCTGGAGCATCGTATCGTACGCAGCCCTGGCGGTGCTGTCATCCGCATCGGGACCACCATCGTTCAGGTGACGCGGCTGGACGTTCCCAAACAGCCCCTCCTGGCTCAGATCCGAGCGCGAGCGCTTCTCGCGCAGGATGCGGTCGCGGTACGAATCGGCCAGATGCGGCGGAACCGCAAACACCTCATCGCCCACCTCGATCAGTACGCTCCCGTCCGCGGTGCGACGCGCAAAGCTACCGAGCTTCTTGCGCGTCATTGCGCGACGCAGCGATCGCGCTGCACCCACTCCGGGGTTCGAGGTGAACTTGTCGCCTGTTTTGCCCGGCTTGTCCGAGTACTCGTCGAAGCCGTACGACTGCTTGAGTTTGTCGCGGCGTAGCTGGTCGTGTGCTACTGCGCGAGCGATGGCGATCAACAGCATGAGCGCCAGCAGTCCCGCTGCCGCCATGCCCGCCACGACGAGCGGGAAGAATTTGTGCTTGGGCGAGAGCAACGAGGGCGGAGGTGCGTCGTCGTCCTTCTGCGCAGACATCGAAGGTCGCGCCGAAGCCGTCGACGACACGCTGGACGACGTCGACGAGGCGCTGGGGCTGGGCGTGGAGAATGAAAATGCCGGTGCGGTGGGGATGCTCGATGTGGCCGAGGTGGAGCTGGCGGACCGATCTGCGCTCGGAGTCGCGGCTGAGGAGGCAGCCGAAGATGCGGGGGAGGCACTAGCAGAGTCCGTAGCACTCGCCTGGGTCGCCGACCTACTCGGCGAAGCAGCAAGTACCGATGCCGAGCCTCCTCCCCCAAACAGTCCAGCTAACGACCCCAACCCCTGCCCGTCCTCATCTCCAGCAGGCTGGAGCACCATTGGACTGGCGCTGTTCTGCCTCTTGACGTTCCTCGGCAGCGGATGCACGCTCCACTGCAACCCGTCTCCCCTGTAACCGGGCATCCACTTGCTCGCCAAGCTCTGCACCATCTGGTCGAACAGATCCCTCGACCCGGCCACCTCCCTTGTCGCCTCGGCGCTGCATCCCGAGGCGAGAACCGCTACAGCCAGCACGGCGAGACCCGCTTGTGTCTTCATGCTTGACAAGAACCTGCTTGTCGTCAATTTCTTGAGGGATGGGTCTAAAGAACGCAATGTTGCATCGAGCAACAGAAAAGTACAGTCCAGCTGGAAAGCAGTGGCGGAGAAAGAGAATGAAAAGGAAGCAGGGGTAACCGGTACCCTCGCTCCTGTGATGATCCCGAAAAGAATTGATGATGAGATGGAGGAACGGAAGCAACCTCACCCCCCTTGGCTCGAATGGAAAGACAGGAAAAACGGGATGCCACACGTGCAAGGACCATGTAGAGTCTGGTTCAGCAAGCATCCCACCCCCCAGGGCAGTTGCCTTGCCTAGCCGGTGAACCACGGTGCGCAAAGCCGTTGGGGGATGTGCCAAGCCGGAGAGCAAGTGGCGCTAAATGACATATCGCGTCCAATCGTCGTAGCTGCCGGTCAAAAAGAAAGAAAAAATAATAAAAGTAAAAGAAAAGTCTCGAGCTTGCTCACCCTGCACAAACGAAGCCGTTCACCAGCTGTGCGTTTGCAACCACACTTCCAGCGCCATGGTCAAGATGGATGCCAAGCGTCCAGTGGGGCGACGGACGAAGTAAAACTCCGGCGAGAGCCACGAATGGAAAGCGATGCCTGCGTTGGCGCTCTTTGTGACCATTCAGCCACCAGCCCACCGGTCATTTCGACCACGGCTGTGCGCGCTCCTGAACGTTGTCGGTTGTGCGAGGTGATCAAGGTCGATGCTTCCGGCCATTGCCCAGCGCATCTGTGTGTTGGCAGCACGCACGACACACATCTAGTGACAATTTTCTTTGGAATGCAGAGCAGAATGGATACAAGTACAATGGTGGAGTGCGGGCGGGTGGGATGCTTTTGCTCTTGGGTTGGACCAAATGACAGACAGAGAAGAGTGTGTGTGCGATAAAGAGAGAGAGGCATAAAGAATCATTCGAGGCAAAACGACAAACGCGAGGCTGTTGGAGCAAGTCGAGCGTTTGCCATGGTGCGGTGCGCAGGCTAGAAGAAGGACCTTCCAAACGTGCCTGCTTCCGAGTTGGACGGCTTGGGACTCACTTCGAGCACCGAGTAGTGGATAAGGTTGAGTGCCTTGACCGCCAACTTTTCGTGCAGCACACACGAGATGTTGATCTCGCTCGCGCCCTGGCTGATCATCTCGATGTTGACATTGCCCTCGGCAAGGACGGTGAACATGCGACCCGCAACGCCGACCATGTTGCGCATATGCTTACCCACCAAACTGAGGATAGCCATGTCGCGCAGTACACTTACGGTGCCCACCTTCTGCAGGTCCGCCTTGACCTTGTCGAGCGTACGCGGACGCAAGCCGGCAGCCATGGCCATCGACACATGCACCTCGGACGTCGAAATCAGATCCACCACCACACCGTACTTGTCGAGCGTACCAAAGATCTTGGCAAAGAATCCATGGCTGACCGTCTTGCGGTTCGAGTGCACGTTGAGCACCAGCACGTTGTCCTTGATCGTCACCGCCGTAGGCAGCTTCCTCTCGCCCATCACGGGCCTCGCCGCATCCGTCTTGGCCGACGTGCCCCACGCCGAAAAGTTCGACTTGCTGGCCGAAGGCGTCATGGGCGGACGCGGCTGGTCCACGTGTCCGTCGACGAGCTTGTCTTCGGCGCCGTCGTGGCCCTCGGGGACGTCGGGGAAGATGACGGTGCCCATGCCGGAGGGGTTCTCGACGTTTTTGATGCGGATGGGGATGGCCTTTTTGATGGCCTGCTCCATGGTGAAGGGGTGGATGACTTCCGAGCCGTAGTAGGTGAGCTCTGCGGCTTCCTCGGGAGTGATGGCGGGGATGAGGCGTGCGGTGGGCACCTTGCGCGGGTCGGCGGTGAAGACGCCATCGACCTCCTTCCAGATCTGGAGCTCCTTGGCCTTGACGCCGACGGCGCAGAGAGCGGCGCAGAGGTCGGTGTAGCCGCGGCCGATCTGGGAGAGGAGCGAGCCGGGGACGTTGCCAAAGTAGCCGGTGACGACGGGCACGCCTGTGCATGCTCGCAAGCGGTCGCCAAGCGCGTCGCTGAGCTGGTCGTAGAAGGCCTGGTCGAGCGTGAACTCGCCGCCGACGTCCTGGACAGCGTGTGCGGAGAAGGAGGGGTCGACGATGCTCTCGAGCGTCACGAGCTCTGCCTCGACACCGGCATCGCGCAGGGCGCCGACGGCGATGCGGCACGAGAGGCGCTCACCGACGCCGATGATGATGTCCTTGGACTTTGGCGAGATCTCCTCGATGATCTTTGCGGCAAGGAGAAAGTCGCGCAGACGCTCGCAGTCGTCGACGATGTCGGCCTCGATCTGTTCGAGCAGCTGCTTGTTCTTGGTGACTGCCTTGCGTGCAGAGGCGATGTGGTCGGAGAGGATGCGGTCGACGGTGGCGTTGAAGCCCGAGGCGATCTCGCCGTCCGAGTCGGAGCCGGCGTCGTTGGTGGGGTGCGCCGCCTTGCCGTTGAGCTTGAGCTGTTCGAGCTTGGAGTCGAGAACGTTGCTGCTGAGGGCTTCAACGCGGCCGAGTGGGGTTCCTCTGGAGCTGGACTTGCGCGAAAAGGCGGAACCTGGGCGATGAACGGGTGTCTGTGCGCCGTTGGCGTTGGAGGCGAGCGAGGCGACCGAGTTGGTGAGGGATGCAGAGGGGGTATGTGCCTCGTCGAGCGCCTCGCCGGCGGCCTGAAGGAGGAGGTTTGTGGTGCCGAGCGCCTTGGTCTGACCAGAGCGCGCCGAGCAGACGATGGCTACCTTGTTGCCGGCCAGATAGGAGGGCACGATCTGCTGTGCGATGGTATCGAGGAACTTGCCGACGCTGGTGCCGCCATACTTTTGGATGATCCACTCGGTGGATGGATCATCGGGTGGCCCGCGGAGATGTGTGGTAGGAGGCATGTTGGTGATTGGTGCTGGTGGGGGAGGAGGGAGACAGAGGCGGCGGGAAAGAGTGCGAAAGGGTTGATCTTGGTGGGGGGAGTTGGCCAAGGCGAGTGAGTCTGTGGACTGAAGATGGTGCCATCGGTGACTCGTAGCTGCATGGCCGCGCCGCCGCTGCCGAGGCCAAATCAAGAGATCTGAGAAGATCCGACCAATCAAGTGCCCAAAAGGTCGAATTTTTATCAGCATCGCGGGTCAACCAAGCCAGACTAGCAGCGCTCACTTTCTCACCCGAGATATCTCGGTTCGCCATCTCCCGATTGGAGTGGGGCGGGCAAGAAGGTGTGTGCCTATGAACGCCCTAACATGTTTGGGCGTTTGAGCGTTTATTCGGCTCGCCCCGGGATCCCGCTCGGCTTTTCGGGAATCCTCGGCACGTATTGACAAGGCTTTGCCGGAGCGGAAGCTTTTGAGTTGGTCACCACCGGGAAAAGGGCTCGGTCTGGGGCCCCTTGCGTTGCCGCGTGAAATGATTAACTCGAGACTCAAAGCATGCGCTTGCATCCCGAGCGTGCCGACGCCTTTCACACCCCATCTTTTCGCGAGCTACGGCATGATATGATGCGGTCGAAGCCATGGCGCCATGGAGAAGTCGCACGGCTATGTCACTGTGCTTCGACGTGACCCCCACGGCCACGCCTGTGTGTGGATTGCAACGACTCGTCGGAATTCCGAGCGCAACCACCAGCGCGATGAGGTTTTGTGAGTTGGCATTGTGAGATGCAGCTTGGCGGCAACTTGGTACGGTGGAGGGATCGCAACAAAAGGACGCCGGCAAGATGAAGCGTCAAGCCAAGCCGGATGCAAGAGGCTGACATGAGCGAGTGAGCAAGCAAGCAAAGAAGAAGGCCGAAAGGTGCAGCAGCAGTTGATGCAGCGCCAGTGCGTATGCGGGATGAAGCTCGCCTAGCCGGAGAAATGCAAGAAAAGGACGCCGCATCATTTCGGCTTATCGACATCTTCATGTGGGCAAGTCGCCGGAGCCCGACGACAGGCTGCGCTGCGAAGAGCTGAACGTCCGGCGTGACTGCTCTAGGCGACAGGGGCAACGCGTGGGAAACCGACCAAGCTTGGATGACAGCGGAACGTGGTGAGCATTGTCGGATCGGCGGCGATCGTCGCGGTTGGGAAGGGGCGGGTGAGATTGCGACGCGTGCGGCGTCCTTGCGCATCGGGGTGGCAGCGCCCAAAATCATGCGCGGAGCAGCTTACTCTTTGAGACGGCATTCCAGCAACGGCAGTGTTGAGATGGCCATCGCTGCAGCTTGCATCGAATGCAGGGTGCGTGCGGGATGAGGGAGAGCGGCAAGCGAGCATGACCCTTGCCGCGCATGCATCATCACAACCGGGGCTGCCAGTCCGCTGCCGACAAAGAAACTCAAAAGCACGCAGCGCATGGCCCAAAAAAAGAACCCACACCGCCACGCCATGCCACGTCGGCAGGCCCGAGTGGGATGGGAGCGTGCGGTCCATCGAGCCGGCAGCCGCCTCGGCAAGATTGGACAAGCAATCGGCGTCATCTCGCCGTGCCTCTCGCACCTGGCCTCTCGCACCTGGCATCGCTGGTCGTCATGGCTCTGCGTCCTTGTGTTGAACATGCCGCCGTCGGGATCGCCGCTTTCATCACGCATGAACGCCAGCGCCATTCGACATGAAATTGACCGTATCCATGATCGTACAGCAGATGCTCAGGCCTCGTCGACTCGCATCGTGCGATCCGCGTGACGAAGGCTCGTGTCTGTCGCCACCACTTGTAGCTGATGCTGATGCTCGTGTTCATGTTATTCGGCCAAGGTGGGCGGGGCGGGGCGGGGCGGGGAGGGGCGAGTGTTGGCGTGGGGAGCGAGGTGCACCCGAGACCACGCCCGACGCCCAGCTGCTGCTGCTGCTGCTGCTGCTGCCGCT